GATCTTTTCACACTTACAGTAAGATTTGTTTTAGAAGTTTTCGCTTTTTACTACATGCGAGTTATGGAGAAAGAATAGTCCAGAAACTTTCTAAAAATGTACAGAATGTTTAACACACAGAAAAGCTAATCAACAGATTTTAAAAGAACATACCAAGTAAGCCCTCCATACTATCTGTTTGCTGTTGTCTTTCATCATTCCAGAATGGGCAGCTTCAACTAAAATACATAAAATGTATTGTAGATCAAAAACTGAAAGTCACTTCTTTTTCATATTCTAATAATCAACATATATTTTTGCAAAGTAAAATGATTTTAATATTTATGGTGTGAAGAGTTATCTTTATAAGTAGTAAAAAACTCTCAGTAGTAAAATAAACACTAGTGGTTGGGCTGGTGGGTGGTAGTGGTTGGGCATTACATATCAAATAAAACAAGAAGCTCATACCTGCCCTAAGACCCTACTTATATATGCTGAACATATGAATAATTTTGTTTTACAGTATGCAATCCTTTGAGCAATGGCAGAACTTATTGTGCAATGTTTAAACTAGATTCTAAAACTAACCTTCCTCATTCTAAACCTCAGACTTCTGAGATTACCAGTGCAAGACAGATCCTCAGATATCAAACCTGTTTTGCAATAGTCCTTTAAAGCATGGGATTCTAATTATCTGTAATTAGTTGTCTGGGAGGTAAGCAAATGGCATCATTAATGTTATCATTTAGAGGAACAGATCGAGGGCTAGAGACACAGAATGACTTACTAAAGTCAAACAGAAAATGAGCTGCAGAGTAGGTAACTGGAGGAAAAAAGAACCCCAAAACTAATTCATGGCAGCTTACCAAAAAAAAGCTTCCTCTAGAAAACTGGATGGAATCAGACAAAGAGGTTCTTACCATCCTTAGGGCTATCAAAAACAATTACTGTCACATTGGTAGAAGGATTTTTTGGTTTTGCTACAAAGAACATATTGTTAGCAGCTTGTAAAGCAGGATGAATGGACAGCAGGTCTTTCAGTGTGACGTTGATAGGCAGTGCAGGATCCAGGACAAGCATTGGCACTTTGATGCAGTGTGTCAGCAAACACTCCAGTTGCTTCTCGCTACAGCAAAATACCAAAGGTATATTTAACATCAGTAGAAAATTTAGGACAAAACCCAATGTCAGATGCAACTAGATGTTTTTGTAAAATTGGTTCAGTTGACTGTAACACTTGCTGTGGCATGGGGACATTGCTGAAATCACACTTAATTTGATGCAGAAGGGGAATATTTGACTGTTAGTGTTTAGTTCATTCCCATAACTGTTTTTCCAGAAGTTTCCAACCTTTCAAAGTCTACCCACAGAGAAGTCCTTATAAAAAATCTCTAAATAACAGAAGGACCAAGCCGAACGAGTGGCATGGACCAGGCCGTGCCACTTCCTGGCAGCAGAGCCACAAGTGGCCCTGACCCTTCACAGGCAATCACCTGCAGTGCCATGTATACAAACAGCAGGTGAAAGCAACACTAAAAAAACGTACATGCTTTTGAATCATAAAACTTCAGGTACACACACATTAAAAATTCATACTAGGAATAGGGACTGTGCCTAAACAGTGACAAGGATATGCTTTTCAAACTCCAGAAATTGTTACATTTTAAGAGGGTCATTCAGACAATGTCACAATGACATTACTTTTATTCAACATATATATATATTATCACGCTCTCATCTTTTCTTGAAGTGACATAGGAAAGCATGCATAGACTACAGGAGACCAAACCACAACCCCAACCAGCACCTGCTTCCAGCTAACAACGAATAGATTATCACTTATTCCGATTTATGCCTCAAATCACAAACTCACCTCTTTTTTGTTGGTTCTGTTGTGTTCTTCCCAAGGATTTCCCTATTACAAAGTTAAAACAACTAAGTTAAATAACAATGAGTTGACAGTAAGGAATTTAGTCTAATTTCAGATTGTTAATTGAGTCAGGGGCGCATTGTGAAAGCACTGCTAACCCAGTTACAAAGCTGCGAAGGTCTTGCCATTGGCCTTGCCAAGGCAAGCTGACACAAGTGCCCTTCACTGCTCACACTGGTGCAGCGTGGAGCTCATAAATTTGTGATTGTGCTGACAGCTACGGCAGTAGGACTCTTTCTGCTAACAGGATTTTATGGGTTTATTATTAGATTACTTAAAAAAAATGATGTTGATATGAAAAACACCGGTAAGAAACGAGGATGAGGTGACCTGAAACTAGGTTGACTTGATTGTTTTGCCTAAATATTCTGATAAGGACTACGAAAAGCTCTTTCTGCAGAAGTGCTCATTGATTTCAAAGTACATGAAAAAAGTTACCTACAAGAGAGGTGCCCCTGTAGATACTGAACATGGTATGGATATGAGTCTTACTCATAAGCTTGATATCAACTTTCCAAATCAGCTGTGGAAGAAAACAATACGTGTTTTTCCCTTTCCAAAAAGGGAATCACAGCATGAGTGGTGACAAAGCTCCACTAATATCAGCTATATGAACTGCTAAGGAAATAGTAGCACAAATTTGAAAGCTTTTCAGAGCAGAGACACCATGTCTATGTTTAAGATGTTTAAGGTCAATGGATTTAAAGTTCTACTAATGTTTTCATTGTTTAGGTAGCAAGGAAAAAAAAATCCAGAATTTCCCTTATGATCACGTTATCAGTGGTACCTAAATTGCAAGACGTAACATCCACCAAAAATCAGATCAATATGCTTACTTGTGGATTTCTGATTATTCTGAATTCAACTATTGCAATCCTTAAAATGTGAACTTGTTCTTCCATTCAGAATACTTTCTGCCCAAAACAGATCATATGAACAGAGCTGGTTAGTAAGAACTAAATCAATGTTGCAAGACACAATCCAAGGTGTCTGCAGCAGCATGTGTTTGAAGGCTTAGATCAGTAATTATGCAGAACTGCATACCACCATCTATAACACCAAATAATGTCTTTGCTCCTTAGTTAAAGCACAACTCATACCTTTATAACATTAATAAATTATTTTCCTATTTATCAGTTTCACTGTTTGGAGACAACAAATCTACCTTAAAAAAAAAAGCCTTTAAGAAACATGTGCTTATAATTTTATTAAGCCCATTATAAAAAGAAATACTGGGGCAGGGGATGGCGAGAGAAAAAGGGGATGAAGAGAGGTTATACATTTGATATACAGTTTTATTATTATTATTATTTACAAATTGAGTTATAGAAATCAATACAAAATTACATATACAACACACAGTTCTTTGGATGGCATTTAAGAAATTCATGACAGCACAGTTCTAATTATTATGCTTTATATCTTAAGCAGTTTTCTTATTACACGGTATTTCACAGCTAAAAGTAGAACTGAAACATGGTTTTGAGAATAATCAAATGAAGAAGTGAGAAAATGTGCTTTGAATTTTCATGTTGAGTAACATAGGAAAAAATAACAACAAAGGGAACTAGTACTGCATTAGATTGTTGCTGTTGGTTAAAGGGAAAAAAATACATAAGATCATTACCTCATTATTTTTTGTTCTTCCTCCATCTGTTCCCTGACCTGTTGCAATTCTTTGATCAGTTCAACATCTGTGCCGTTCACCCAGGTGTAGACCACATCAATTGGCATGGGCAAACACAGCCTACATAATTCAAAGGAAAGCTACATGAGCTGTTTAATATTACATTACAAGTGTTTGTGGCATCCTACAATAGCAATTTCTGTCTAACAACAGAAATACCTGGTGTCTGGACTGCAAACAAGACAAAGCAAAAAGCCTCTGTTTAGCTATATATATCATGTCTTAATTATACACAAGCCTTTGACAAAACAGCACAGGCACAAACCAGAAACACAAACTGGCTGTAACACTTCAGTAACTAAAGGAAATCTTAGCTTTATGCTCTGAATTTCACCTACATAAACATATAACCCAATTCCTTCAAACTCATCAAACATTTTACAAGTCAGCACAACATCCAGCCACATTCAGACTCTAGACAAAGCAGATAAATTAGTTCTCAACACAACTGAATATCCTGGAGCTATTTCTGGAGAGCTGCAGATTTCCTATATACCCAAGGCAGAAGAAATAGGTTTGGAATCTTTTTTCTATTTTTTAATGATAATCTCCTCTCCAAGGCCTAAGGTCCACTGCTTTGTGATAGCAGGTACTCTAGGCTGCTGCCATAGATGAACCTCTCAGTCCCAGAAAGCAGTAGGCTGCCCCAAATACTATTTTCAAAAGTTCCACAATCAAGCTATTTAATATCTCCCTGAACTGTAGATGGCCTAGTAAACACCGAACACTTGTCTAATGCTGAGATCTGTGGGGTCATGAAATGATGTTTTCCGAAGGTGTTCCCTCTCCACCCCCTGTGTTGTTCAAAAAGCATTCAAATCAAGACACAGCTTACAGGCAATCTCCCACCCACATTCCCCTAAACAGCACACCAAGCAACTTCCACCCAGCTTCATTTTCTACTGGCTCAGATTCAGTAACTGAAGCACAAAATGTGGTAAAAGGTCAGCCAGTAGCTGGTCACAGCACAGTAGACAGGAACATTTTGTCCTCAATTTACCACTGTTCCTAACGGAGCGATGACACTTAAAGAATAATGGTGGGTCATTCTGGGACAGTTTGAACACCTGAGCAACCATGCTGCCTTCCCCAGAAAGTCTCTCTCACCTCTGAGATGTAACACTGTGCAGAAGGCTACCCTCTCAACTGGCAAGAAAAAAAAAAGTCAATTTACTAAATACAAATAATCCTCTAATCAGATGCTTCACTTTTTTCCCCAGAAACGACTAGCTTCTTGCCCATTAACAAGGCATGTTTTGAACTAAAAAGTTATCCACAGGAGTAGGAATTCAATGGCAGTAGCTCTTCCAGCTTTTCTACATTTGTTGTGATCAGTTAAATTATTGGTTTGAGAGCCACTGGAATGCTACAGCTAGGAAAGGAGTGTTTCAGGTGGAAGCTACTGACACAAGTCAGCAGATTTCCAAAATGCCCAAGCCTCAGTCTTCTGGGCAAAGTGCAGAGTTTATTTACCCAGGCTTCACTGAAGAATATAGTATGTCCAAAATAAAAGCCTGAACTCCAACTCTTTCAATGGTATGAGGCAATTCTGACTTCTGTGAAGCCTCTCTCCAATTCATAATGTTTAAAGCATGTCTGTGCAACAGCACATATAACTACATAATTTGCTGTGCTATTGTCACATACAGTCAAATGCTGATAAATTCCAGAGGAAAGGCATTTTTGGTCAGGTGCAGGTATCCCAACTCTGAATTAACTCTGGCATGGCAAGCTCATTATTCACTACCAGTGGCAATAGAGACAGACCAGTAAAAAAACAAGTGAACTGTGCGCAGATCCACTACTCCAATTGCTTTAAATTTATCCAAATACTTCGATAAATTTTCTTAACTCCTTTTTACAGCATACATTGTTTCAGAAAGTTTACCAAACATAATAATAAAACCCAGATATTGCAAAATTCAATTTATTGCTTCCAATTAGGCTAAGTAACACTGTTAAGACTTCACCTTTTTGGGCTTTGTCAAAGCTTTCTAGATGGTTTCATGGCTTCCTAAATAGTATTGAGAATTTATATTTTGACAGGTACGTAGAGGAATTTTGGTTTAAAGTGAAAAGGAACAGGAGAGCCATTTCAGTAGTATGGTTCTTAAACACTATTTTAACACGTAAAGTCTTTTGCAACTTTCTGAAGGTCAGAAAAGATCAAAAACTTTCTCCCTCAAATTCTGTAGCTGTGTTTCTCCCTCATATGGATTTATATATTTGGTCTTAATCACAAACATTAGTCTGGCAAACAGATGAGCTGAGTCAATTTACTAAATACAACTACCCTTCTAATCAGTTATTTCCCCTTTTTGAGATGACCAGCTTCTGGTTCATCAGTAGATGCAAACCAAAGCACTCTTTGATTCCAAGTGGGAATTATCTTAGCACCTTTCTAGAGAAAATCATCAGTTTTTCCATTTGCTACTGACTGCAATACCAGCAAACATGGACTTTGGAAACTTCCTTGGAGACTACTAGACAAGTTAATTAAGTTGAGGCTTGCTGTGGACAGTTTTTTACGTTTTTCTCTTTCAAAAACATACCCATTTTTTACTTGAAAATCTAAAAACATCAATAGGATCCTGTTTGAAGGCAGAGCCACCAGCTCCTCCAGATGGGACAGGATGCACACCTGCTGGGAAGTATTTTCCACATCCATGATGTGTTTACATATGGGAACCATGTTCACAGCCAAGATTGCAGCTAGAAGACAAGCCTCATTGTCTCCACCCCCACTGCTGCTGAAGGAGCACAGCAGACTCTGGATCTCCTCCAAGCTGCCATATGGTCCTTGCTGAGCCTCTTTATGAACAAGGTACGTCTAATCTCCTCACTGTAAACCTCCCAGCCCTCCTGCCTGTTACGGCTCTGTAACTAATGCACCAACAGCAACTCACCTGTTCCGTTGGTATTCCTGTTCCCTAATTTGTGCATCTTTTCCTCTCTCCAGCCTCACTCAGCTCAACAATTAATGGCTGGCCAACCACTGATAGCTCTCACTTGCTGTACCATACTGAAATCAGTCTGTACATTTTAAAAGCTGAGGACTGTTCCTTCACATTTTCTTTCTGTACGTATTTTGGAGTTTTAAATATGACTTGGTCACATCCTGGAATAGCAAAGTTACACTTCAGCATTTACTAAAATACAGAATTTGCATGTAGAGTAATAAAATACAGTTCTCATCCAAGACACTCGTGCACACAACTCCATTATTTAGTTTCTTTCTCTCCCTTTTTATTTTCATATCAAATCTAAGTCTTCAAAAATGGTTTTGGATGAGGTGACTTGGTAAAAAGCCTTGGAATTTCTACTCCACTGTCTCAAGCTGTGTAAGAGCCTGGGCAATGTAAGTACCAAGTTTAGCAGCTGATGTGACTACCTGGAAAGTGCAGCAGTTGAGATGCCAAGGGTGTGCAACAGGAGTGAAAAGCAAACTAAAACAATGGATACAGTTCAAGGCAAAACAAGAAATCTTCCTTGGTCTGGCAGAGAAGAGCATTCAACAGGTGTCACTAATGATGCTCTCAACATCAGTCTTTTTATGTGACGAGCTTTTTGAGTTTATACTCATAAGGAGCTTGCCCACGTACACAAGTCTGTCTACATTTTACACTGAGGTTCTCTACAGAAGTTCATAACACAACAGTTACACAATATGTTTACCTGCAAAGCTCATAGAAAATAACACTATTTAAATTCAGTTGAAGATACATTAATATTTCCTAAAGTCCATGCAGCTTTTACTTTCTGCAAAGCAGTGGATCTGCTTTACTTCCCAACACACATGCTTCCTGTTATGCAATTCTGAATAATGCTCTCTAACACTAAAATAAGAACTGATTAAAATCAATGGATAGGGTAGGTTCAAAACTGGAAGTCCACAGTCCCCAGTTTATGCGTAGCCTTACATGCTTGCACAGATACCAGTCTTAAAAACTCCACCAAACCACCAGAGATACAAAGTGCGTCCTAAAGCATAGGGTCCACTGCTGCATTTGTGCAGTTGGATTGTAAAAATAAAGTGAAACTCCAACAAGGGATGTCTGAAAGTTAACAGATACATAAAAGTATGTATCCACAAAGGGTTTTTGTTGATATGAGTTTTTGCAGGAAGTTGGTACCTGCACACAAATATGCCAAAAAACTTCCCTGTCACGCCTGATATAGGAGTATTAAAGGCATATGGGTGAACTGAAATAAAATAAAATAAGCAACCATCAAGAAACCCTAAAGCTTTTGCTCAGGCAGCCAACAGCTCCTTCCTAGGCACTGGATGTTTTGCTCACAATCCACAGAAGTGAACACTATAAAGGAGTGATTTACATAACCCAAATGAAGTAAGGAGACACACTGCAGAAATGGGAAGCAACTACACCTACATCACAACAGTAGGATTTGTGATTTCGTTTTGGACAAAGTCAACTATTTTATAAAAAAACTTCAGTTTAATTATCACAAAGTCAGGTATTTTAGTCCTGACAGGAACAAACTTCCATGTTTTCACTTCAGTACCACTGAAACATGTAAATATGAAGCTAATCATCCATATGAGCTGTATCACTCTGCTTTCATCTGTCATCCTTTGGAAAATGGGGCAGAGGGGTATGAGATGAGATTATAAAATTGTATACTATTCAATGACACCACACAATGTACTTTTACAGAGTTATCTCACACCAACTAAAGCATGACAAATTGATCTGATGATTTCTCCTGTCTCATGACTCAACAAACCTCAAGGCAGATTAAAGCATCTGCTTTCAGGGTTGTTTTTTTTCCCAGTCAAGTGTATCAATGTTAAGAGTCAGATAACTTCTTAGTAGCTTTCTTCCACCTACCAATTCACAGTCCACTGACTTCGTGAGCAACAGACCCCAGGCTATTCACACACAAACCATGAAGCCACAGGAAGTCATGTAGCAGTTAACACAACTGAGACAAATGACCCATATGACTTGGTTCCTAATTTGCTGGGAGAGAGTTCTCCCATGCACTCAGCTTTTAATAGCTTCTTACTAGCTTTGTGGCTTCTCTGCTAAATAATGTTACTCATGAGACACCGCGGAAAACTTGAGGTAAATGAAAAATAACTTTTCAGAACACTTAAAGTTGGAATTTCGAGCACACAGGAACAGTACTTTTTCTACCTTTATACAAAAAAAGTGTCATGTCCTCCCTTTATTGTTAGCATTGTCACCATTTTGATGTTTCATTAGAGACGAGACAATTAAATCACACTTAAAAGTGTAAACTCCATTATATGACTAGAGCTTCCAAATGTCAAACATCTTCCAAAATAGGAGATTATGCACTGACTATGCACTAATTTTAAACATTAACTTTAAAATTTGCTGCGGATTTAGAGCCCATACATTAAGGTCCTACTCAACAGGATGTTATTTCACCTAAAATATTTTACTTAAGTATTTAAAAATTCAGTGAACAGTAAAATGTGCAATATGTCAAGCGCAGGTAAAGCTCACCGATTCTGAAATGATTTGCCAGCAACGTTGTCTCTGTATGAATCAAACATAACATGATACTGGTCTCTACTCCACTCCAAGACAACCTGCAAAAAAAAGCAAAACAAAACAACTTGATGCCACCATCTTCTAAAGTTAGACACTAATTTCTCTTTTTGAAATGTTTAACCACTATCAATCTAATTGGAATTGATCTATGCATTAATGTACAACTGACCAGACCACAGTCCCAAATAAGTTGTTACACCGAGTCAGCAATCAGATCCAGAACTGAAGAGCCCACTTAATTTGAACAAACTTTGTTTTGCTCTGCATGAAAGGATTTCATGATTTACAAACACTTTTTAAACTACTATTTATTTAGGTTACCTCCTCTTTGTCTCCAAAAATTCAGGAATGTTTTCCCAAAACTGAGACCTAAATCAAACATATTTCAATACAAGCAGAAAACCCCTAACACACACACACAGACCTGCATGGTTTTGCTCATCTTCATTTCTATTCTCATACAGGACATATTGAAATATACACACCTCTGAAATGTGAGCATTGCAAACAGTCGGGCCAGGCCATATCAAATTAGGTGAAATGACCCAGCTACAGACATAAAACACAACAGTTCTTTCCAACAGAGGTAAAGTTTACACTGCATCCCAACTAACCCAACAGCACAGTATTTCTGCAGGCTGCAGCCCCTTTTCCATCCCCTCGCATCCCTGCCATCCCCCTTAGCTTGACGTGAGTTCACCTGACCCCACAGTGATCCAAGTCACAGCTAAATCAAGAGAAAGATGAACCTTCAAAAACCAGAGCACTTGATCTTCCTCTACTTGGTTGTTGGAGCAGATAACAAAGAGTGGTGACAAACACACAGCTAACACCTTTTAAAGGGAAAGTCCAACCTTAAAAACTAGAGAAGCATCTTGCGCTGTTTCAGAGAAGAAAGCACAGTGGCTATTTTTACTGGGGTAAATACATATTTGTATATAGTGGAGAGTAAACAAAAACAAAAACCCAAACAAACAAACAAAACCCCCAAAACAACACAAAACCAGGAAAGGGTAATACTTACTTACACCACTCTTCCTAGATATAAATTTTACTAATGTTTATTTCTTGTATTATAGGAATTATGAAATACACTATTTCTCTAAGGTAGGGTTCAAAGCCATAACATAAACCTTCCTCCCTTTTCTGAGGATACACACCTCTCTACCATGATTGACAGTAAAGCAAATGAAAGCCTTCTAGAGAGCAGGGAAGCTCCATCCTGTGCCTGGGTGACAAGTGCATGCACACACAATTCCTGCCAGAGCTGCAAATGGTCTCTGTAACCAAGATCACATCAGAACACTTCCATTCTACTCACACAAAGCACATATATTTCCCAGGTAGGCATAAAAATCTCCTTCCTTAAATACCAAGGTCAGGAATTGTCTTAAAAACACACTATTACACTTTTTTTTATGCACAAGTCATTACGTCCTTCTGCCAAATACCTGGTTTAATACAGCACACACTAAAAGATCATATCCATGTGGAAACTTTTGTTACTACTGACAGTGATGAATTGGCACACACTGATCTGCTTCTAGAAGAAAAACGGAAGTATTTGAGTAAGACTGTAATATATTATATGAATAATATGGCTCTCCAGAAGAAAAAAAAAATTAACATTCAAGCCTTTGCCTTCGGCATTTGTGTAACCATAACCAGAAAGGACCAAGGGCAGATCTCTTAGAAACACATTACAAAATTAAGTTCTTCCTACCTGATACAATTTTTTCCTGCAACTGTTTCCTCCTGACACCTTATCTGTCTTGCAACAATGCCTGGAGGCTGCCTTAAATACTGATATTATAAAACCACAAGGGGAACATCAAAAAACAAAAGGAACACCACCACCTATTAGGAGATACTGTATCAGATATGTGATAACAGTGGCTCAGGCATATTCTGGCTATAAAACTTTTTTACAAAGCTGATCAACCATTAGAAGGATGGCCAAGAAGTGTTTTATAACCAAACTGTCCTAAAACTTAAGGTTCATCTTACAGCTAGGTTGCAGCACTGGTTTAGACATGGCTACCCTGTACGTTTTTCCATAAACATTTCTGAATCACGTCCAGTGCCCTGATATTTTATTGAGCTCAAATTCTTCCTTGAAATGAAGCTCATTTTCAGCTTCTGGCTGCACGGACATCATTACCAATCTCAAATTACTTGCCCTAACCATCCATTTTTACTTTACCAACATTACTGATATTAGTATGAATCTAAGAAATCAGATCTAATATCGCCTACTAGGACAAAAAGCTGGCTCTAGGGGTGGGGGAAAAGCAGAACTGAAGATGCTGCTCAGACACCAGGGTCTGATAAGCACTGCCTCACACTGCTTTTTATTGCTTGAGTTTGCCACAGATGGCTAAAAATGGTTGAGTTGTTAATTTCTAGAAAGACTTCTCGGTTTCATTTTTCAAACTGTTTTATAATTTTTATTAGCTGCTGCCTTACAGACTCTGTATGGGAGAAGTGTTTTCCGTTCCCACTATTGTCACCAGAAGACTTTAACAGTGTTCGTTCTCACAAGCCTGGTCTCCCTATTGAACTACCGCTGTTTACTGATGTACAAAGGCAAAAAGTAAAATGCATGCAAACATATCTTACCAGGCTAATTTACCATCATTGTGGGGGGAGGAGGGGGGAAGAAGTTTTACACATTCCTGTATGGCCATTCTATAAAGGGTGTAGGTTTTGTTGGTGTTTTAGCTTGGTTTTGTTTGTTGGGTTTTTGTTTTTTTTGGGTTTTTTTAAACATTGCTAGCCACTTTTCTTTTTTCCTAACATATAATTTGGAAAATCTACTCCTACATGAATTTACCAGTTCTTTTGCTCACTGCCTAAACAGCATCTAAGCTTTCCAAATAGCTTTAAAAGGGTTGGAAGCATCAAAGTTAGTAAGAACATAATTCTGAGCAGTGATTTCAACTTATTCTCACCAAAATCAACAAAAACTTGGACAACCACTGAAGCAATTTTAAAAACTTTCAAAGTTCTATGGTATCCTAAAGTTGAGCTGAAGTCCCCGTTCTCAAGAGACGCAAAACTATACTCAGTTTCACAGCACCAAGAAGTCTATACCAAACTAAGTTGATAATCATGTACAAACAGGTGCCTAAGAGTACTATATAATTACTTAATTTACTGATGGCTTTGAAGTGTCCTTGGAATTGCGAACCCTGCAAGAAAGTAGAGATGAAGTATTTTATGCAAAGAAGATGTACTGATACAGAAAATAAAGTTCCGGTTGTGGCATACTCTAGAGTTTCAGATAATACTCTTTATGGCTCTTCTTTTTTCCCTCTCTATTGAAAGAGTCCCTCAAAATAAAACAGAGAAGAAACAAAAGAAGGAGGAGAGAAAAGAGAAAAAAAAAGAGAGAGACAGAACAACTTAAGAATCAGGAAATTCCAGTCTGTTTGCATTTAACACTGCCATCCTTATAGACTGACAAAAATACTTGCATTCCCTGAATCCTTACTACGTTCTCAAACATCACACAGAAGTAAGAATGGGTTGGTTCTTTCCTCTCCAGATTCTTTCACTGATAACTTCCCAAAGACACGGGGCAATACTAAATGAAGCTTTAAAATATACTTCTGTATAAAATCATATATAGAGAAAGGGTAAGTTACATTGCATCATTTACAAAATAACGCAAGCAAACTGAGTAACAAGTAGCGAGCAAAGTAAGGCAGACCCCGATGAACTGCAGGCAGCTCGGAGGGAGGATACACTTAACTCCTTAAATTCCTGAAGGGAGAAAGATTCTGTCACTCGCAGTCGCCGTGTGAAGGTTACATCCATCACAGGCTTTACGAGACTCAAACAAAAACACAGGACTAATAAATCACCTGATAAGGAAAGTGGAAAAAATTGCACAAGGCCAGCCAGCAGTAGCTGGTTTGTGTCACATCTGCTCCGCCGGGCCCGTAAGACCCCACCTAACACCCCTCGGAGCACCCACCGGGAGAGGGGCCCCGCCGCCCAACAGGTGGGAACACGGCGGCCCGGGGAGCGGGAGCTGCCGCGGGGCTGCGCTCCCTGCGAGATGCGGGATGGAGCCATTCCCAGCCCGGGGCACGGCGGGCCCGCACAGCGCGAACGGCGCCCGGCGGGCGGGGCGCGGCACTGTCACCGCACGGGCCACGGGGTGCCGGCCGGGGGACCCCGCCGCTCACAGACAGCACCACCGCCCGGCTCCCCAGAGGAGAAACGGCCCCGAACCCAGCGCCGCCGCGGCTCCCGGGCCGTGCAGCCGCGGGGCTGCGCCTCCCCCGCCGGCACCGCTCGGCTCCGCACAGGGGGACGGAGGGGAAGCGGGGCAGCCACGCCGTACTGACCTCCCCGAACTGCAGGGCGGAGACGATCATGAGGACGAGCCCCCCGAGGCAGAGGCAGGGCCCATACCTGTGCGACAGGCAGGTATAGGTCTGGCGCTGCAGGAGCTTTAGCAGCATGGCCCGCCGGCGGCTGCCGCCCCGCACGGCCCTGCCCGGCCCGGCCCCGCTCCGCTCCCCCCGCACCCTGCGCGGGCCGGGGGCGGGGCCCGTGCACAGCGCGCCCGCCCCGCTTCCGGCAGTGCCGCGGCGCCGCCTGGCGGCGGACGGGGCTCGGTGCGGCCCGCCCGGCCCCGCTGAGAGAGCTGCGAGACCTGCGAGACCGCCCCGCACGGCCCCGGCGATGCCGGGCTGGACCGCGCTGGGCTGGACCGCGCTGGGCTGCCCAGCACGCGGGGTTGCAGCCGAGAGGCATCGAGAGGAGCAGATGGATTCTCCCCCTCGGCCCTAGTGAGGCCACAGCTGCAGCGCTGTGTCCAGCTCTGGGCTCCTCAGCACAAGGAAGACAAGGAGCTGCTGGAGAGGGACCGGCGGAGGGCAACAAAGAGGATGAGGGGCAACAAAGAGGAGCATCTCTCTTATAAGGAGAGACTGTGGGACCAAGGCCTGTTTAGAGTAAGGAACAGAAGACTGAGAGGGATCTCATTAATGCATATCACTGTCTCAAAGGCGGGTGCCAAGGGGATGGTGCCAGACTCTTTGCAGTGGTGCCCAGTGACAGGACAAGCAGCAATGTCTGTAAACTAAACCATAAGAAGTTTCATCTCCACATGAGGAAGACCTTCTTTACATTGAGGCTGGCAGGGCACTGGAACAGGCTGCCCAGGGAGGTTGTGGAGTTTCCCTCTCTGGAGGCATTCCAAACCCACCTGGATGCATTCCTGTGTCACCCGCTCCAGGTGGCCCTGCCTTGGCAGGGGGTTTGGACTGGATGATCTCCAAAGGTCCCTTCCAACCCTAGCAATTCTGTGACTCTGTGACTCCTGGATTTCATTAAGATACAGTCAAGCTACATGCAGAGGTTTAATTTAAATGTTCTATTGCATGTTTTGGCACAGAAATAAGGTGCAGAGATGGGTTCATGGAATGGGAATGAGTAGGCTAGAGAGGGTTATTCGTGGACTTCTTCAAGAACAGCTCTGGAGGAAAAACAAGAAACTAGTTAGCAGTCACTAGCTGACAGCACACTCTGTAAATCCTTAATCTGCATCAGTCTGGTTTCTGCTGTGAAGTTCAGCCATCTACATAGGACACTGCTGGTATCACCACTGACAAAAACTGCATCAGGCAGAGGCACTTCTGGTTACCAGAGCAGAAGGATGTGGTGTCATAGGCACTCATGAGGGGCCTAAAGACAGTAGCACCTATCTCTGTAGTCTATCCCTGCACTGAAAGTTCTGAGTATTTCTTAAAAGTCCCTGCAGTGACTTTCCTGAGTAACAAACATCTCCCTTGTGATCTTATTTTTCCCTGTGTGAAGTAACAATACTTTACCACTTCCAGAAGTTTGTCCTAGTATATTTACACAGTGGGTTGTGTGAGAGGACTACACCCGGCTGTACTTTAAGAAATAGCCAAGAGTGCACAGCTCTTTGGCACAGCTCTCCCAGGCCACTGAGCCCCACTTCAACTTACTTTTTGGGTGTCACAGTATTTTCCCTTTCTCCATGGGCCATAGATCAGGATTGCAATTTCATTAGAAAATTGCTGCCTGTAGAGTCTTAGAGCCCACCACTCAGTGCTGTGTTCCTCCTCCTTACTGTGTGTTATCAACCTGATTAGCCCTTCATAATAACCCAGCCCTCCTGTTCTTGGTGTGCAGAAGCCTCAGCTAAGCTTTTGTCACAGCCAGCACTTTCTCCTCACATGTCTTCTTCCTTCACAGGCCTCAGCAAGGTGCCAAAGTACTACCCTGGGGGAATATAATCTTTACATATTTGCTGGTACTTCCCCCGCTGGCCCCTCCTGCTCAAGCAGTGTGTTATTATTATTGAACTATTATTACTCAGCTATTATTACTGTGCTGCAGCATCTCTTTACCACCACCTACAGCACTGTGGCTGCAGTACCAGTGATGGTCTAGTATTCTGAGTCAGCAGACCGAGGTTTTCACTGAGAACAGAAGTACAGTATATATGCAAATTATGAAAAAAAACCATATTTTTTGGTCAACAATACAGCATAAATGCAGAAACAGACTACAGCGTGATGAAGAGATGAAGCTGAAAGACATAACACCAAAGTAAAGCAGAAAATCAGTCAAGGGAAACTGAATTACTTCAAGACCTAGATTAATAATTAGTGCAAAGTGTGAGATGATACATTTACACAGACTAATAAATGCTTCCATATGATACCGATGTGATAAAACCAATAAAATTCACGTATTCTTCAATTTATTTAATAAGGTATTAGCCAAAGTATTCCAGTAGACAAAGAGATATAAAAAGCTCTGAACAAATCATGATGGGACTATATCTGTCCTTGTTTGTAGAACACTCATGTTCAATGAATATATATTTAAACTGAAATAGGTGCATGAAAGGAACAACTAGATCTTTCCTTCTGAAAGGACACTAAAAGATTTTGACTTGTTCTTATCACAGGAATGAGGATCAGAAATCTATTTAAACTAAATGCAATACAGTCACCAGGTTAAAACAAAACAAAGGAAAACACAAAACAAAACAAAATACAAAACAAACCGAAACAAAAAAGGAGAGAAAAGCAGGTTCTGGAATATACTTGAAATAGGAATAGCAGGAATACCTATCAAGCCTTGAGAGACAGCTGAGCCAGCTTGTGATAGGAGACAGGACTCTATACTCCAGATGCTCCCCTGTAATTCCCATCTTGCCATAGGCTCATACACTCTTGCCCTCTTCAGTCCATCAAAGGCGTAATTATTCCATACAACAGAGAAAGAGGGATGCTCAGTCTGGAGAAGAGGACACTCAGGAGGGATCTCAATGCTCTCTACACCTATTTGAAAGGAAGTTGTAGTGAGGTGGGGGGCAGCCTCATCTGCCGTGTCTCAAGTGAAAGGACAAGAGGAAATGGACTCAAGTTGTGCCAGGGAAGGTTCAGATTAGATATTAAAAAAAAAATTTCACTGATAGAGTGGTTAGGCACTGGAATAAGTTGCAAGTGTTAGAGTCACCATCTCCAGAAGTGTTTAAGACGTGTCTGGACGTGGCACTTGGGGATACAGTTTAGGGGTGATTATGGCAGTGCTGGTTTGGTGGTTGGGCTAGATGGTCTTTAAGGCCTCTCCCAGCCTTGATGATTCTGTGGTTCTGTGCAAGGCAGAAAATGGATGAAAACAAAGCCACCCTTAATTTGCTAATTAATTGCAAGCTATTAAGGCACACATAGTAGAGATAGGCTCAAATCCCTTTCGAGATGATCTTTCCAAGTTGCTCAGATTCTTCTACAGCTGTCACTAGAAATTATCTTCAAGTTCAAAACCAGAAACCAGATCAGGGACCTTGTCTCACTTTGCAGCTGATTTTGTAAGCATGTCTCTGCAGGGGGCAGGCTCAGGCCAACTTTTTTTTCACGTTTTATCTGATGCATTACTTAGGCCGTTCTCCAGGTGAGAGCCTTGCTGTTGAATCCAAGAAGGGGATACATACCTTTCTCCATTTCCCCCAGTCACTGTAGATGCAGATGAACCCAGATATTCTCTTGGAGCAATAAATTCCACCAGATGTCAAGATATCTAAAATTTAGACCCTGCCATTATAATCCAACATATACTTAAGGGCCTTGCCAAGTCATCATCCATGTGTACCACTGAGCTTTAGGAATAATCTACTTGACCGTACTTGTATTTGTATTTACTTGAAGATGGATGTAGCAGCACTTTATGCAAAGGCATGACTTCAGTGGATTATGATGTAATCTAATTAAGCAGTCAAATAGTTATAAACACACTTTATGTTGATCCTGATTTTCTACAAGTTGCCTTCACCAACACTTTCTCTCTCTTAGGTCTTAAAAAACCCTGAACTTGTGATATTTTTCTCACTACAGTTAGACCTTTTTAAGAGGGGGTTAAAGCTACTTTAAAAAGGAAAGAAATGTCTACTTTCTCTCAATGGCAATGAAGATCCTATAATATTCAAAAGCTCGAGGAAGGCAGAATTCGCTACTGAATGTGGTAGACTTTTCCAGTAGCAGTTCTTTCCAAATCTTTCACATTCTAATTTTCTGGGAATGGAGAACGGTAAGAACTAAACACACAGGGCAATAATGTAATTATCTTTGTTTGAGGCAGGAGAGCAGAAGTAATCAACATAGCATCTCAGGCTTCCCTGTTAGCCAAGAATAATATTCACTGCACATTCCATCAATCTTGCTCAGAGAATTAATATCATCAGAGGTTTCCTGTGTCCATTATTGCATTGTCTTTTTCACAAACATGAATTAATTATAGTACCTCTGAGAAGCAAATATTACTGGGCACAAAGGTAAAGACAAAATCCAGCAAGTTTGATGCCTGCTTCCACTTCAGGACTGAGTTTTCGCAGTACAGGAGCTAACTGGTAGTACTCTGAAGGCTCAGCAGTTCGCTCTTAAGGACTTTGGTTCCATTTGTGAATGTTTTGAACTTCTGAGCATTCAGAGGTGTCTCAAGTCATGTAAGAAAAAGTTAAGAACGGAGAAGTAATGACTTGCCTGTGGATAATTTGTTTGAAGTAACTTGGCTATCATCAGACGAGTTTTGCAGTGGAGACAGGGGCCACTTCATATTTACTTACTGTAATGATGCAGCCATCATTTCTATTCCTGCCCTATTCACTATGTAGATCTACAACAGATGTACTAAGAACTTTCTTTAAATCCTAGAAGTTCTTCCATACAGCTATGAACAGGTTTTCCCCATGAACTGAAGAATAGAGAGGAGAAAAAAAGCAGCCAGTTATTTCCTCACTCATTCTTGTAATGTATTGTATTTTCTGTGCACCTAGGAGCCAGCACAGGATGTTGTAGAGGGCTAGGCCCTAAACAGCAATCAAAACAAGCTGGTGTGCTTGTCAGTATTTTGAAGGGCTGCATGAGCACTCTTTATGGAAAGAAAATGGGAGACAATAGAGCCTCCTGGTACTTCTCTCCCTGCCCTTCCACCCCCAGAAAACATATAATATC